ATAAATTTTTTTTGATTCGTATGATATTTCATTTATGGAACTTGGTTCAACATATGAGATAGGTATGTGGATATTGGGTCAACGCATGAGTCGTAATTTTTGTGTAGGGGTTTGTGAAACTACTCACAAGTGGAAAATAATTCAATTAGAAAATGGAGAATATCCAAAGTTGATGACAAGGACGGACATTAGTGATTTGGGTGAACCTATTAGTGTAGTGTTAAGTGCCACAAAGACAACTAGGTTACGCATGAAACAACAATACTTGTTTGAATTCTTCATTAATAATAAAACAAGGAGCCAATGGGATGTCTAGTCCAATAATGGTCCAATGCAACCGTTGGTGCACATTTCCAAGGATGAAGATCTTAACAGTGACATTTCTCTTTTATGTGCTAATGTGAGTGATTAATTGTTGTGTTTTCTAGAAATATGATATTATTAGTTCTTTTAATTTTTTGTCGATCCATAACTAAGGTATTCCTTCGGTTTGAATATGTAGGGGGACAACTATAGTGCAAAGCAGATCTTGTAACTAAGATACAATAGTTACAAGATCAGTAAACCCTTCCGAATGATGTAACAACTTATTAAAGTAATACACACCAAATAGGTTAATGCATTAGTAAAGCAAAAGAATTAGTATAAACTTCAGATGGTCTATGTTGTATTCTAGGTGGTTTTATGATCCTCACAAATGCAAGCACCAGGTTCCTTGCAGAGTGTTCTCGTGCAGGTTCAATAGGATATGTAAAGCTGTCGTGTCAGCTGGTTGTTGAGCAGGTGAGCGTACTTCACCAATAGGAGTAGACGAGATTGTTTGTTCCTTGGTCAATAACTCTCCTTATCGATTGATAAATTCAAAGTAACAAACAACTTTACATACATTCATTCAAAGCAAGAGAAAATTTCTTCTCAAGAACTCAAGCATAAAAGTACTTATACAACAAGGAACCTGATAGACCAAAGAAGAGCAATCTTTATCTGGTGTTGTTGTTGAATGCTTGTATTGTGCTTAACTTGTAAGATATGTTTCACATTCATACAGAAATGTTTCAAAACTTTTGTGTGTATTGTTGTAAGAACACAGTTAGAGTTAATTGTGTGTCTTATGTGTTGAAGTCTTTATTAATTCATGGTAATTAATATATTGGGCAATAGAAGAATTTCTTTGGCTCAGTAAGTAATAGAGGGATTACTTAGTGTGAGATTAAGAGTTTAGTCTCATTGTTGTAGTTGGAATCTGTATTCACTTTTGCTTGAGATTTGTGAAAGCAGTTGAAAATCATTTGTGACAGGTCATGATTTTACTCCATTGAGCTAGGAGGTTTCCACGTAAAACTCTTGTCCCTTATTTCACTTGAGCTATTCATTTTCCACACTATTACACTGTCAAAGGACCTGATCCAGTGATCACTTGTGGACACATACATTCCAACAATTGGCATCAGAGTGAATGGGCTTTTTATTTGGTTAACACAAAGAGGAAAGATCCTGCAGGAATGTCGGCTCCATCAAAACTGGAAGAAGGTCAATCTACCACACGTCCTCGTCATTTGAATGGCCAGTACTTCGGGTGGTGGAAGACTAGACTGCACGATTACATCATGGCAAATGATAGTGAGCCATGTGATGTAATATTTGATGGTCATTACATCCCCACCAAGGACATGAAGAAATGAGATCTAACTCGAGTGACCCCCAAGTTTAGAAGAGAGTATGATAAATTAGACAGGAAGAAAATCGACAAAAAATTCAAAGCAAAGAAGTTGTTGGTCTGTGGAATCAGAGCAGATGAATATAACAGGATTTCTACATGTGAGACTGCTAAGGAAATATAGGACTACTTAAAGAAAAACCCATGAAGGAACAACTCAGGTCAATGAGTCAAAGATGGACATGCTGGTAACTCAATATGAAAATTTCATTATGACGGAGGATGAAACTATCCACGAGATGCACTTCAGATTTACCTCTAGTACTAATGGACTTAGCTGTCTTGGTAAACCCATTCACCCAAGTAATCATGTTTGAAACATTCTTCGAGTTCTTCGTAAGTCATGGGAAAGCAAGGTGGATGCAGTTTCTGAAGGCAGAGATCTAAAGATTCTCACAATGGATGAGCTGATCTGGAACTTGCAGACCCATTAGTTAAACAATCTGCAAGATTGATCCAAGAGGAAAGGAAAGAAGGAGAATTCAGTACCACAAAAGGTATCTCAAAATGATAACTCCGTAGATGAAGATGAGATGTCTTATTTGACCAAAAGGTTTAAAAAAATAGTCAAAAAACATGAAGGGTTTCAAAAGAAGGAAAACTACAACAAAACAATAAAAACAAATGACCTCTGTCATAAGTGCAAAAATCCAGGGCACTTTATGAGAGACTGTTAGAGCCATAAGCATGAATTTCAAGATTTCAAAGAAAGGAGAAGGGACCAGGTGCCTGACCATGCTAAGAGAAAGGCTAATGCTCATCAAGTGGTGAAGAAGGCCTTTGCAATATGGGGGAAACACCTTTAGTAATTCTGAAAAGGGAGAACACCATAAAGATTTCTCTATGATGGCAGTCAAGGACTATGATGACATATTCAACTCCATCTTCTTATTGATGGAAAAGACTAACGATGAGGATGACAAGGAAGAGGTAACACGTCTTGACCTTAAGGGTGACATAGCCACCCTGTCCATTAAAAGGTTTAGAAAACTTGCAATTGTGTTAATCAACTCAGTAGATGAATTAACAAACAAAAAAATAGTCTTAAGTGAAAACCTTGATCTTTGTCAAGATGAAAAGTCAGCCCTTATTTCTCAGATGTCTGAAATGAATGTTAGGCTGAGTATTCTGGAGACTGCGGGTTGTTAACATAAGAAAGAACTAGAAACCTCTAAGAATGGAAAAATGAAGCTCAATAGTTTTCAGCTTGATATAGAGGAGAGTCTAAAAAATTCTAAGTCCAAACTAGTTGCCGCCCTTGAAAGAAATTCATAGCTAGTAAGGGAATTAAGTCAAGTTAAAAATGAGCTAAATCAATCTTTGAAATGGAATGATTCTTAAAAGATTCTTTCTAACTTGGCAAATCAGAAATTAATAGTGGTAAAGGTTTAGGTTGTCAAAAGATAGAACCCCCTTATAACCCTCATAGCAAGTACATGTCTACCTCTGATAACTTTTTATGCACTCACTGTGGCAGAAATGGTCACTTGAAAAGAAACTGTGAATCCTTGAAAAAGACCAAAGAAAATCAAGCAAATTTCTTTAAATTTGAGAAAAGGAAAGAAACTAGTCGTAGATATCGTTTAAGTCAGAACTCTTTGTCACCATGGACGGGGAGGTTTCTCATCAACCCTCGTGATAGTGTTTGGGAACTCCATCTTATGTGGGCTCCTAAATATAACAAGTGATTCTTTTTGCATAAGGGAGGAAACAGTCAATGCTGGCTCATGGACAGTGGTTGGTCAAAGCATATGACTGAAGAAACTCATCACTTCCTTTCTGTGGAGCACACTAAGGTGGTGGTGTGTCATTTGGAAATGGAAAGAAAGGGTTCATCCTTGGCATTGGGAAGATTGGGAGATCCGTGGAACACCCCATAAATAATGTGTAGTATTTGAATGGGTTAAAATACAACATTCTCAGTGTGTCTCAGATTTGAGATAAAGAAAATGAAGTGAGATTTTTGTGAAATTAATGCTTCGTCACTAATCTTACTTCGATAGAAGTTATTCTTATAGCTAAAAGGTTTAATAATATGTATGTTGTGGACCTTGTTTATATAAAAGGAGATAATCTCACATGCCTGAGTGCTCAGCGTTATAGAGTTGATTTGTGGCACAAAAGGTTAGGACATGTAAGCTTCTCATCGTTGAATAAGTTGGTTTCAGGAACCTGGTCTATGGCTTAATCAAGCTGAAATTTGTAGAGAACAAAATCGGTGATGCTTGCGTAAGAGGTAAGTAAACGAGGTCTTATTTTAAGAAAAAGTAAACGAGGTCTTCTTTTAAGAAAAATAAAGGTATCAGTACAACCAGGCCACTAGAAATTCTTCAAATGGACTTGTGTGGGCCTGTGATAATTCAAAACAGGGGTGGGAAGAAATACATTTTGGTGGTTGTCGATGACTTTTCGAGGTTCATCTGGAACATGTTCATGCAAACAAAGGATGAAACAACTGAGGTATTAATTATCTTTGTGAAAATGATCTAGATGAAGCTGAATTGCAAGATTGTAGGTGTCAGATCAGACCATGGTACAGAGTTCAAAAATACCCAAATCAAAGGGTTTTACGTCTGACCATGGAATTCATCATAACTTTTCTGCTCATAGAAATCCTCAGCAAAATGGGGTTGTTGAGAAAAAGAACATAACCTTAATGGATATTGATTGAATGATGCTTATTAATTAAGGTCTTGCAATGAATTTTTGGTCAGAAGCGGTAAATACATCTTGTGATATTACCAATAGATGTCTCATCAGATCAGTGCTCAAGAAAAATCCATATGAGTTGTTGAATGGAAGAAAACCATTGCTCAAGAAATCTCCATATGAGTTGTTGAATGGAAGAAAACCATCACTCAGTTATCTGAAGGCTTTTGGCTGCAAGTGCTTTGTGATGAACAACGGGATGAATGATCTTGGAAAATTCAATCCAAAGAGTGATGAAGGAGTCTTTGTGGGGTACTCCTCGACAAGCAAGGCATACATAGTCTACAACAAGAGAACTCTGTGCATAGAGGAAAGTGTTCATGTTATCTTCAATGAATCTGGTGAAATGAACAACATTGAAGACAAGGATGATCTTGAACATGAAAAACTAATGCAAATTCAAAGAGATAGTCTGGTGCAAGACTATGGTGGATAAGGTTCCAAATGAAGAAAATGATGCAGAAGCTACAGAAGAACCTGGTCCTTCTATTGTCTCAGATGCTCCTAAAAGAGAAGAACCAACAAAGAAAGTTCTAAAGAAGGGGAACAAGTTGTTGAAGCCAACAAAGAGACTATGAGGAAGTCAGGGTGGAAACATCAGTCTTCTAATTCCTTGGACAATCTTGTCTCTCCATTGGAATCCGCATTGCACACTAGATCAAAGACTAGAAATCTAGTTGCATTTTCTGCTTTCATCTCCACTATTGAACCTGAGAACATCAAAGAAGCTCTGAAGGATGCTGACAGGGTGAACTCATTGCAGGAGGAGCTTCATCAGTTTGAAAGAAGTAAAGTGTGGCACTTAGTCCCACACCTCTCAACAGAACCATTATTGGGACCATATGGGTGTCCATAAATAAGTTGGATGAACATGGGACTATCACAAAGAATAATTCAAGACTAGTGGTTCATGGATACAATCAAGAAGAAGGAATTGATTATGATGAGACTTTTGCCCCAATGGCAAAGATTGAAGAAATCAGAATCCTAATTGCTTTTGCTACACATATGGGGTTCAAACTGTTCCAGATGGACTTTAAAAGTTCTTTTCTAAATGGATATTCGAAGGACGAAGTCTATGTTAAGCAGCCTCTAGGGTTTGAAGATCTTGACTCGCCAAATCATGTGCTGAAATTAGATAAAGCCTTGTATGTCCTAAAGCAAGCTCCTAGAGCTTGGTATAAACATCTATCAAAATTTCTTCTTGAAAATAGTTTCAAAAGAGAAAAAATTGACAACACTTTATTCTTGAAGTCAAGAGGAAAGGAGCTTCTTATAGCACAAATATATGTGGATGACATAATATTCTGAGCTACTTCAGATGCTCATTCAAAAGAGTTTGCAGCACTAATAGGAACTGAATTTTAGATGAGTATGATACAGGGAACTCACCTATTTCCTAGGTTTGCAGATTAGACAGTTTCCTCAAGGCCCTTCTATTTGTCAAGAAAAATATATCAACGAGCTGCTCAGAAGGTTCAATATGCAGGAGGCCAAGATAATTTATACACCCATGATAATGAGTAACAAACTTGGCTGTGATGAGGTAGGCATTGACGTAAATGAAACAATGTATAGAGGAATCATTGGATCTCTCCTCTATCTTACTGTAATCAAGCCAGATATTGTCTTTAGCATGGGGATGTGTACTATATTTCAAGCAGCTCCAAAGGAATCACACCTGAAGGTAGCAAAAAATATTCTATGATATTTAAAGGGTTCTTAGGATGTAGTCCTATTTTATCCTTCAGAAGATTCTTTTAACTTAGTTGGATATGCTGATGTTGATTATGCAGGTTTTCTAAACACCTTAGGATTGACTCGTTTTGTAGGGTCATCACTTATTTCATGGGATACAAAGAAGCAAAACTAAGTAGCTTTGTATACAACTAAAGCCGAGTCTGTAGTTGCTGCTTCGTGTTGTGTTCAACTCATATGGATCGAACAACTGCTTGAAGATGTTTGTGTTCTCACTGACACAATTCCTCTTATGTGTGACAATACAAGCGCAATGAACATGGGCAAAAAATCTAGTCAAACATAAGAGAACCAAGCACATTGATGTGAGACATCATTTCCTTCGAGAGAATGTTAATAAAGGGAATGTGGTGATGAGATTCTGCAAAATATAGGACCAAATAGCTGACATCTTTACCAAAACACTAAGTAAGGAACATTTTGTCAAGAACAAATTGAGTTTGGGAATGCACAAACTACACTAATTTCTCAGCAAATTTGCAAGCAGCCTCCACATTGACTAAGCTAAGGAGGCCAGGTATCTACACTTGTGTTATTGCTTACTATTTATGAATTCACTACTTTTGTCTTACTACAGGTATACACTCATGGCATTCTAGCTAAAGAGAAGATTTAGTCATGATGGTTAGGACTTTCTATAGCAAGGGACCAGGTCCTCTTGCAAGGTCAGTATCACTCTACTTTATTGAGTTATTGGACAACTTTCATTTCCACACATCATTGCCCTATTTCCTATAAAAGTTATAGACGTCTTTTCAGTTTGAAAAAAATCAAGGGTTGCTTCTGTTAAGGGAATTGATAGCAATGATAAATAGGCTTGTTATTTCAAATCTTTCTTGTGTCTAAGAAATAAGACCTCTCTCTTTAAATAAAAAAAATCTTCTTTTCATTCTCAGAAGATGTCAAATCCCTCGTCTCCCTCAACAAATCCTCTCTCTCCAGAAATGGTAAAATCTAATCCCTTCCAGTTCTCAACTCCTTCTACGGATCCCTCTCCCTCTACTCCCATGTGTGGAATGGGAGAAACCGGTGAATCTACTATGCCACAAATTGAAGTCGTGCATCAGTCCTTAGTTAATCTTGTTTACGGTTTCCCTTGTTCTTCCACTATAGTTTTATCGGGTAAAAATTCCCTAAATTCTGAAGCATAGTCAGTGGTTAAGCCTACTAGTGTTGTGCCAACTGAAGATCTTGATGCCACTTCTAAACCATGCCCAATTTCCTCAATGATGTCTGAAAGTTTGTTTGATGGAGACTTACCTCAGGGAGAAGAAACAGAATCTAACATTTTAGCCACATAAGAGGAGTGGCTTGTGCAGAGTTTGGCTTCTTGAAAAAGAGTTATTGAGCCACCTTTATCTGAGGCTGAATGTAAGTCACCAGATTCGGTCCTAAATAAATCTAAGCCCGTGTTTGATAAAACCTCTGATATTGTTGCACCTACTGATGCTGGTCAAAGGGAATATGTGAAAAATGATGACGCTATTTCTCTGTCTTGGATGAGGAAAGGAGTTAGAGGAGCACATACTCTGAAGCAACCACTGCTGACATTGAAGGGACTGGTTTGGATATTGAAGCCAAAAGTTTTGAAGGACCTAGTGAATCTGAGCGCAAAAAGAAGGGAAAATGGAAAGGGAAGTTGGTGGAGTCTTCCTCCAAAAATGGTGATCAGAAGTATTTCACAAGGGAAATCACACAAAAGTTGATGATTAATGCCATGATTGCATATAAGGCTCAAACAATACGATATCGTAGTGAAAGAAAAGCTGATATTACGCCTGTTGTGAACCCCATAGTGTTGTCCCAAGATGGAGGGTCTAGTGAAATTTAGTCTGAGGACATCGTGAGAGCTGTAGCCAAAATTCAAAATGAAGTGGAGGAACAACGTGAAAAAGTTCCAAGGATCACAAGAGCAAACAAAAAATCACCAGCAAAGAAGGCTCGTGTAACGAAAAAGGCTTCTTCTAAGCCTGAGCCTGTTATGGGACCTGGTTCATCTGCAAAAACAAAGGAGGAAGAAAAGGTATTAACCAAGGAAGAAATAATTGCAGAGCTTGAGAAGCAGAAGGTAGTAAATGGTAAGGTGTTTGATCCTAAGATTCTGACTGAACCTGGAATGTGTTCCCTATTTGATTTTGTTGCGTTGCAAAGCTAGGAATATCTGTTCAAATGTCTTGCGCCATATCTACATGAGCCTTAGGTATGTGAGTTTTACTATAATATGAATCTTCTCGAAGATGGTGGAATCAGTAAAGTTGTTCATGCAGTAGAGACCACTTCAAGTGAAGAAGTTTTGGGCATAATCTTAGGGGTACCCTGCAAAGGAATCCAGTCTGTTGAAGGATGCAAGCCTTCTACTAAGTATGTTCAACGGGCTACGAAATATGGTAACATGAAGTGTGTTGGGTTTCCTATGAAATTTCTCAAGGGAGAGGATCAACTATTCTTTTATTTTGACAATAAGGTACTCTCGCTGATAACTGAAAAGCGAACAGTGGCCTCTTAGGTAGACCTTTTCCTCATGGAAAAATTGGATGAACTTGAAGCAATAAATCTTCCCATAATCATGCTTGAACACATGCATCAGATAATGCCATGGAAGAATTCAAAGCATGGGATAGCTTATGGATACCTTCTGAACTTGGTTTTTGATCATTTTGAGATGCCCATTGGTAGAGGGGTAGCATGTATTATCAAACAAACTTTCTCTATAGCCATACTTATTGAGTATAATGTGTGGAGGGAAAGGTGGTGATAGGTTTCTGAACTCCTTGAAAAGCAAGAAACTCTTAAACGTGAAATGGACGATTTCACTACTCTTCTAGGGGCTAAGAATGTAGAGATTTCTCGACTCAAGATCCTCCTTCAACAGGCAAAATCTCAAGGACCTGGTACCAGCACTATGGCGAAGGAGGAAATCGACAGGTTGAAGGCTGACAATGCTCAACTGGTAGAATCAAATTCCTCACTGAGTGAGAAGGTCAAGTCCCTTACCAAGCATCTTCTTCAGGCGCACACTGATGCTAATTCTCGATTGAACATCTTGTTGCAGTCCTTTTCTCCTCGTCCCCCTCCGTCCTAAACTGTATGTCTTCTTTTCTTCTTGGTTTTGCTTCCTGACAATGTTGTAATGACAATGTATTTGTGTTGGTGGTACGAAATAGCTAGTTTTGTGATACACTAATCCAAAATGACATTGCCCTATTCGTTTTGTCTTTGTTTTCTCTACTTTCCTTGTTTGTTCATGTACTGTGCTGCCTATGGCTCAGAATTCCTTACTACTTTGTATATCGCTTGTGTATGTATACTCCTTACCTTTTCAATGATGTCAAAAGGGGGAATTCGTTTGTATATATTGCTAAATGTAACAGGTGGGCATGATGATAGGGGAATGAATGACTTTTAGTAACGGGTGGGCATGGTGATATGGGAATGAATGAATACACTCAATGTGAGAAGGATGTTTGTTTGTCATCATCAAAAATGGGAAATTGTTGAATTCTAGGTGTTTTGATAATCCTCACAAATTAGGGATTAGGTCCCTAGCAGAGTGTTCTCAACCAGGTTCAAGATGATATACAACTGTAAAGTTGTCGTGTCAGCTGGTTGGTGAGCAGGTCAGCGTACTTTACCAATAGGAGCGGACAAGGTTGTTTGTTCATTGGTCAATAACTCTCCTTGTTTATTGATATATTTAAAGTAACAAACAACTTTACATTCATTCATTCAAAGCAAGAGCAAATTTCTTCTCAAGAACTCAGGCATAAAAGAACTGATACAACAAGGGACTTGATAGACTAAAGAAGAACAATCTTTATCTGTTGGTGTTGTTGAATGCTTGTATAGTGCTAAACTTGTAGGATTTGTTTCACATTCATAAAGAAACGTTTCGAAACCTTTGTGTATTGTTGTGCGAACACAATTAGAGTTAATTGTGTGTCTTAGGTGTTGAAGTCTATATTAATTCGTGGTAGTTAATACAGTGGGCAAATGGATGCATTACTTTTGCTCAGTAGGTATAGAGATATTACTTTGTGTGAGTTTAAGAGTTTAGTTTCATTGTTATAGTTGGAATATATATTCACTTTTGCTTGAGATTAGTGAAAGCAGTTGAAAATCCTGTGTGACAAATCATGGTTTTACTCCCTTGAGCAAAGAGATTTCCACGTAAAACACTTGTGCCTGATTTAACTTGAGCTATTTAGTTTCCGCACTATTACTCTATCAAAGGACCTGGTCCAACGATCACTAGTGGATGCATACATTCCAGTAGTCTAACTTTTAGATGGTAATATTAATGTCCATATGAGATTAGCCATCAAATAAAAAACTTGATTAATGGTAAATTATCTAAAACCTTAGGAGATGTACTTGAAGACGATTATGATATATTTGAGAAAAAGAAGGTAAAGTTGATACCTTCATTAGTACTGGAACAAGATTACACACATCATGATCAAATCAAACAAACTAAAGCATTAAAAAGATAAAGCAACTCACACAAGAATTGAATACAAAAGAATAAGGTCTCCTTACCTGAGCTCAGAAGAAATTTGAGACTCTCAATGATGTTGTGTGAACCCAGCTCCGACCAACCATAGCCTAGATCTTTTCACCTCAAGGACGCCTGACCCACCAGAGGAGTAGGTCAATGTGGCGGCGATGACAAAAAGGGATGAGAAGAGGAAAAATCTGTCAAGAAACCCTTCAAAAACTTTGTAGACTTTCCTTTTATTGTTTATATTTCTTTCTATTGTTGAGATGGGCCAGGTTTAGTTCATTTCTTTGATTGTGAAAAAATATTTTAAAAGACCCGATTTATGAATTTTAAAAAAAGAAGAGTATCTATTAAAGAATTATTTATATTAAACTAATCCTCGGGATTTGAACCATTTCTTTATCCTGAAACATTTAATTCGACTAATCTTGACTTCATATGCATGTTTTTGTTATATCTTGGTCTACCATAAATGATTTAAGACAAGCTATTAGATGGAGGCCAGAGGGACAAAAACATATACAACAAATGTAAGAAACTAGTTGTAAA